ACAGTCATGGGTTTTGAATGTCTTGCAAAATATTTGATTGGGCTTCTGGTGGAAATAAGCCTGAAGGGATTTCTATATTTACACCTTAGTGTGCAAATTTTGTGATGTCTGTGCAAATAAAGGCAATGATTATATATTAGTAAAGAGGTTGTTTTAAATACTTGCAGTATTCTGTAGACAGAAAACATCTGGGTGATAGTGAGCTGCTATGACTTTGGCTTAACCAGCGACTAAGGATACCACTAGTCAGACTCGATGTCATATTGTACCTGCCATTAAACTGATGCTTAAATAGGTATTATGCGCACCCCAGGATGTTCAGCACATGGAATCACTTACTTGTCTCATTACATTTTAGTGATTAAACAGCACAGGACCTGGGGAGACACTCCAGTGCTCGAATCATCATAAGACGTCTGTCTTTTATTACTTCTGTCATCAATATCTTTTCCATACTCTAATTCTGCCAAGTAGAAAACAACAGTGCCTCATAATAATGTACATGTTATGGACAAACTAAAACTCCTATCCATGTATGTAGGTAACTAGTGATTATTATAACAAATTAAATTGCTTCAAAACATCAACATACAGTATTAATACTGTAAAAAAACAATTATTCCCAAGACTCAGTTCTGACAAGTTTGCCATGGAAAATCAAATCACCTAGATCATTTCATCCGTGTGGCAAAATGTAGCTTCAAGTTATCTTTTGTTTTCTTCATTCCTGCTGTATTATAATCCAGTGCGCACAACTACCATCCTCTGCATAGGTCAGCAGTTGTTACATGCTTCACTTGGCATAGACCTTCCTTGGTCATTGAGGCCAGTGACTGGGGCTTCAAATGCAGTCACTGTTTATACCTAGGCAATGATAAGAACCAGTGCTATTTGTCTGTCTGTCTGTCTATCAAGTGCATCAAAGTAAACAAATATAAAAAGGCAGAAATAAGCTACTAGTCAAACCTTTCACCACCCCTTCCCCAGCTGCTTAGATATACCTGTCGCTGGCTCCACCGCTTCTTCGCTTACCCGGCTTTTCTAATATCGAAGTTGCTTTGTTCAGAGCTTACACAGGACTATGGACTCTCCCTTCTCCCATGTGTTGTATTGTGTCGGAAGTGTGTCACACACTCTCCAAAAGCAGAAGTAAAGAGTATTTCTCCTTGTCCCCGGCACACAAATGAAGCAGCACGGGAGAGAAGGGATGGTAATTATTGGGAGACAGAGGTGGCAGTAAAGTGAACCTGTTGCTTTTCCTGACATGAGCAAAGCAAGGGTTCAATCTGAGTTCTTACAATTTTCTGAAGATTAGTTATGATGTAGTTGGGATTAACATAACTTTCCTAAACTGAAGGCTTTATTCTTAGGGGTTTATGTGACATATCGTAGTTGACTTTGCATGATTTGCAGACACAATCTTTCTCTAATGTTCCCCCTTTCCTCCCCCAACAGTTTGGTTGTAGGTTATGCATACTGTACTATGTATGCTTTCTCCCAAGCTTGTCAAAATTCTGCACATCACTACCCAACAATGGACAATGCAGACTATGCTCACTTCAATGGAAAGTCCACCAGACTGGTAGTCCTGTGGACAGATACATTGGAAAACATTTTTTTGGGGGGGGGGGGGGGAGCGGTT